TATTCTTAGTTCATATAAATGCTTTCTTTGCATCCCACTCTTCTGAGTTTTTATATGCTCTTTCTTCATTCATGCATTAAAAAAGAAAGAAAAAAAAAAAAATCAGCTGGTTGCTGATTATGGTCAGTTAGAAATCTCCCTTTTTCTGAAATAGTTCCAGTATGCTTCAGTTACAGTTAAATATTTTGTCTTTTTTTTTTTTACATCACATCGCATTTTCCAATCAGGGTTATCAGGTCAAGCCGCAGAGAGGAACAGTTCAGCAAATTCCAATATTAACTGAAACAAGGTACAGTTTGGAGTATTATTCTTCAGCACTAGTTTGTTTCGATTAAAATAGATAGATAAATATTGGTGGGACACTAATAGTGAATATGCACGATTTCCACTTGGTAAAGAAATTTGTATACTGCTATATCATTGACCAAGAGTCGAGTTCCAAAATTAGTTATCCTTGATGGATACCTACCATGCGGATTATCTAACAGCTGAATAATGGAAATTCTTTAGTATTTGATTTCTCACATTTTAATGGAGTGTTATGGAGCACATTAAATTGTGGGTATGGATTTATCTAGATGGGGAAAACTGCCGTAAGGTAGCATGCATGTTCATGTTTTATTGTTTTCTTGATTGATCTTTTCTCCTGCCTGTTTTCCTGGAACGATCTGTTGTTTTTCATATCTGGGGTTTTCGGGTGTTCGAAACTACCAATATGTATGCTGGGATAGTATGGCAATCGGGATAAAAGGACGTGTGAAGTTTTTCACCCGTTCTCTTATTTTCTTATCAATGCACATAATCGACATTCACATATTTCTTTGTGTCTGTAGGCTTAATTTTTCCGATTATGTTAGAAACAGTTATGTTATCTTTTTGTATTGTTGTTCAATAAGTAATGGTGGCCATTCACAGAATCGAAATTCACATATTTTTGCTTGATTTGTGCTTTGTAGGCTGGGTTTTTGAGATTATGTTAGAAACAGTTATCTTTTTGTGTTGTTGTTTAACAAGTAATGGCACATAGAAGTCCCTGCATGTTTCTACAGTACCTATGTTTCCATCTTCTGATTAATTATATTCTGTGATTGCAGGCACAAGGTTAATCATTTCGTGTCTGCATTGCAGCAATATGTCCAATCACAATTATCCCAAGTATCCTGGTTCAGGTTTCTACACTCTCTTAAGCACAAGGTTTGTCGTCCATTACCTTATAGCTCAACCAATTTTTCTTCTTCTTTATTTTCCCCCTTAGAATTTGACAATGTCATGGTGGAATTTCGTAAGCTTTGAATTTATTATAACCTTCGATGAAATTCCCAACTGTTGAAGGGATGCAGAAGATGCATATTTGGGGAATGGGAGGATGAGAAGTGTAGAGCACTCTAAGTTAAATAATTATCTAAAGAAATCATGTAAATGTTATATTCAATATTGTGTTTTGGATTTCACTTGTTTTTTTTTTCTAGGTCAAAGATATGTTGGATCTGGAGTCTGTCCATATGTCATATTTGACTGAGTCCCTGCACATGTATCTCTCTCTCTCTCTCTCTCTCTCTCTCTCTGGAAGGAACTTTCTTTCTAATAAAAATAATAAAATTTAATCCTGGTAACTTTTATGGTTAAACTTGCAGATGCTTTCTATCCAATGAAACACAGCCCATTGCAAGAATCATCCATAACATCTTGCAGTGTGCAATGGATTTTCAGTCTTGTTTGACCAGGAGCCTACTGTGTGCTGGATCTACTGATGAAAAGCCGCCGAATAAATTTTCTCAGGTCGACATCTCTCAGGTGATTCTTTCACTACAGTAGAATACTTTTCACTGGCTCGTTAAACGTAATGGTGCGATCGATTATCGGGAAAGCGCGAATCAGGACTTGTTTTCACTGTTTTTGCAGGTTCACACCATAAGAAATGCATTCAACAAGAACCTGGAGGACTTATACCTAATATATCTGCAGTCGCCAAAACACGACGAATTCGGGCTCTGTC